AAACACGACTTTTTTTTTTTCTTAAAGAGGAGAAAAAGTAATGCTAACCATGAATTGTGATAAAAGATCAACTCTCTCTGTCAAAGTCTCACCTAAGAATGAATAAAGATACCAGACTAGAAGTAAGCTACCTCATCTGGGCGCTGGTGGCTCCTGCCTGTAATCCAAACTACTTAGGAGGCTGAGATGTGAGGATTGCAGTTCAAATCTAGCCTGGGCAGGAAAGTCTGTGAGACTCTTGTCTCCAGTTAAGCACCAAAAGAGCTGAAAGTGGAGCTGTGGCTTCAGTGGCCTTAAGCAAAAATGCTCAGGGACAGTACCCAGGCCTAGAGTTCAAGCCCCAGGACCAGCAAAAAAATAAAATAGAAATAAATACATTAAAATTAATAAAAAATGACGTACATCAACTTAGTGACTAATCAACACCAAAACAAAAAATTCCCCAGACCAGTGGTGGCCTTTCACTAACAATAAAAGACACCCAGAGTTAATAAGTGGCAGGATATCTTAGTTTCTTTGAAGTTTTATACAATAATAAAGCCAGATCGCTTACAAGCATTTTTCCCTTCTCCAGATCATGGCGGGATAGCGCATGAACAAAACCCAACCTCTGCTCTCCAAATTCGTAGTCTCCACCATCCAGATGCCTTCTTTACTTTTTCTATTAAGGAGATCAGGTCTAGGAGCTGGGCTTGTAGCTCAGTGGTAGAGAATGTAGAAGTCCCTGAATTGGATCCCAGCATTAAAAAACCAAAAAAACAAGAGTGGGACAGGGTCACACTGTTGCCTATGCTGGTCTCAGCCCTGAGCAGAAGCCATCCTCCCCCTCAGTCTTTTTAATTTTTTATAATGTGCTTTATTTTTATTTCTAATTAATTGATTGTTATTATGAAGGTGAGGTACAGAGGGATTACAATTACCTGAGTCAGGTCATGAGCACATTTCTTTTTGTACAGTGCCTTCTGTTCCCTTACCCACGTCCAATCCCTTCCTCCTGTCTCCATCCACAAGTCAGAGTAAGCTCCGCTGCTATACGTTTTCATCCTCCCAATCTCTTTTGCAGCTGAAACTATAGTTGTACGCTCCTGGACCTCTTCCTTCTTTCTCCCAGTCTACCACACCCTATGGTCCTTGCACTCCAGCCACAAAAGACTCTTCCACTCACTTCTGGCAGGTTCACAGCCCCCAGGCCCCGCCTCCTCCCTCTCGTCCAATCACTTCTGTATCCAGAGCACCTGCGCTCCCTGCCCCAGCTTCCTGGACCCACTGCACCTGCCACATCTGTATTCGTGAAAGCTCCAGCTATCTTTCCCTAAATGAAATGCAATCACTGATTTCCTTAAGCTATGATGGCATTTGATTCTGAGCCTCTCTGGCAGTACTATTTTGGGGCCTGTTCTGGTTTGGCTATGAAACATCTCCCAAGGCTCATGTATAGAAATGTCTAGAGATGGGGCCATATTGGAGCAAAGAAGTTACTTTCACAAAGAAGCAGGGACTTGCTTTTGGAAAGCATATTTTGCCCCATTTTCTTTCTCTTTTTTTCTCTCTGATACTGAGTTGAACAAATTATTGAAGGCAAAAAAAAAATTACAGGGCTTACCAGATTCCATGTCATGATCAAGTCAATTATTACCAAGTCAATTCTTTAACATAAACACAGCACTAATATAAAAAAAAGCAGTAATAAAGCAAAAATAAAAATGAAGTAAAATCTTTTAAATACAGAAATGCTGAGTTCAGATCACTGGTGGGCTCAAAAAGCAGTTTTGGAGTTGGGCACCTGCTAGCTCTTTTTGGAGTTGGGCACCTGCTAGCTCATGTCTATAATCCTAGCTACTCAGGAGGCTGAGATCTGAGGATCAAGGTTCAAAGCCAACCCAGGCAGGAAAGTCTATGAGACTCTTACCTCCAATTAACCAGCAAGAAGTCCAAAGTGGATCTGTGGTTCAAGAGGACAAGGTATGAGCATAAAGCTGAGAGCTGAGGCCCTGCATTCAAGCTCCAGTATTGGTGCACACACTCAACACACACACACACACACACACACTAAGCAATTTCATAATAAATCAAAACACATTGAACAACAATTATATAATATGCGGTGCTCCTGAGGTTCCTAAATGGGCAGTAGTCAGCCTTGTATGGTGTTTGGACTTGGGTGGGTGCCTAGACACTTGGAAGCCATTCTTGCTGCTAGACATAAGTGTTTTCCTCAAGAGTGTAAACAAATCTTCAGCTACTAGATGGTGCAATAAATCAGTTTGGGTACATTCCATTTCATCCCCCATAGTCACGGGAAAACACAAATTGAATTGAAGCTTGAGTTGGGACCTTGGAAGGAGATGTCAGGATTTACTCTGAGTGCCAGGGCTGATCAAGTCAGAGCAAGGATCTGGGCCTGGCTTCCGCTGCGCACTGCACAGTCAGGAAATACTGCAAACTCCTATGAACTTTCACCTGTTCCTCCTTCCTTCTTTTAGCGCTGATCCTGGGGCTTGAACTCATGGCCTGGGCCTTATCCGTGAGCTCCTTTGTTCTACCACTTGAGCCACAGCACCACTTTCAGCTTTTTGGTGGTTAATTGGAGGTAAGAGTCTCCTGGATTTTTGTGTTTTTTTTTTTTTTTTTTTTTTTAGTCTCAGCTGACTTTGAATCCCATCCTCAGATCTCAGCCTCCTGAGTAAATAGGATTACAGGCGTGAGCCACAGCATGTGTAATTTTATTTACTGTCTCAGTATTACACTCAAAAATTTCCACTCGACTCAAAAAGTAATTTTATGAAGAAAGGAAATATCTTCAGTACCCATTTGGCATTTTACTTTTCAACAAAAGAATGTGTTTGGTTTGCCCACTGCAAAAGCCTTTGCTACACATTTGCATAGAATTGCCATTAATAAATCTTTTCTGGGGGTGCCTTAGGATTGAAAATAGGGCCTAGCTGGCTAAGCTGGTATTCTAGTACTTGAGCCACACCTCCAGCTTGGTTTCTTGCTGAATATTATGGTGACAGTTTTTGTTGTTGTTGTTTTTTGTCAATCCTAGGGCTTGAACTCAAGGCCTGGGCACTGTCTCTGAGCTTCTTTTGCTCTACTACTTGAGCCACAGCACCATTTCCAGCTTTTTCTGTGTATGTGGTACTGAGGAATCAAACCCAGAGCTTTATGCATGCTAGGCAAGCATGCTACCACTAAGCCACATTCCCAGCTCCTTACAGATTTTTTTGCTTCAAACTTTGATCCTGCAGATTTCAGCCTCCTGAGAAGCTAGGATCACAGGCTGGCATACATTTTTTTTTTTCAGAAAAAAAAAATAAAAAAGCAAGCTGGGTGCTGGTGGCTCACACCTGTAATTCTAGCTACTCAGGATGCTAAGAGCTGAGGATCACAGTTCAAAGCCAGCCTGGGCAGGAAAGTTTGTGAGATTCTTATATCCACTTAAACAGGAGAAAACCACAAGTGCTGTGGCTTAAAGTAGTAGAGCGTTAGCCTTGAGTAGAAAAGCTCAGGGATAACACCCAGGCCCTGAGCTCAAGCCCAAGGAATGACCAAAAAAAAAGCAAACACAAGAATGAGTTTGGCGCAAATTTAATGCTCTAGTTCTAGAATTTACCGCCTTTTTGCTTCATGTATAAATGAATACACAGTAGACGGTGTAATAGTATTAATGCAGGATGGATGTGAGAGAGGATGGTTATTACTTTATCATGCAGTCAATTGAAATTCCAGTAGATAAATACTAATACCAATACATTCATCTTCTAGCTTAAAAAATGGTCCATTGTCACCTCTTTATCTATTTAGCAGGAGTCAAGATTTGGCTAATGGCCACCGGAAAGGACCATTGACAGCTGATAATCGAAAGTATTCTATCTGCTCACGGACAGATAGGAAAACAGGGCCAGGAGTTTGTGAAGCTTGAAGCCAGCGTGGGACTAGAGCTCCATTTGTGAATATATGTTTCACCTGTGTCTCTTCACTTTTTTTTTTTGTCTGTCATGGGGCTCGAACTTAGGATGTGGGCGCTGTCCCTGAGCTTTTGTGCTCAAGGCTAGTGCTCTACCACTTTGTGCCACAGCACTACTTCTGATTTTCTGGTGGTTCATTGGAAATAAGAGTCTCACACACTTTCTGGCCTGAGCTGGCTTTGGACTGCGATCCTCAGATCTCAACCTTCTGGGTAGCTAGGATTACAGGCGTGAGCCACTGGCACCTGGCTGTCTCTTCATGTTTAGAACCTTCTCAGCAACCAATGTTGTAGATGTCTCAGGACTTTTGTTTTTCTGTGGTGTATTCTCAGATGATGAAATGACATTTAACATGTATGCATATATATGTGTATAAACACATGCACACACACATACACACACACACACACACACACACACACACACACACACACTCATCTTCACTAGCCAGCAGTCAATCCTACGCATAGCTTTCCTGGTAAAGCCTTCTAAGAATGAAGAATAAATACAATTTGTTTCTTCTCTTCCTGGAAATTTCCCCTCTTCCCCTTGTTCTTGCTTGGATTTGTATTATGATTTGTTAAAGTATGTGTTTAAGATATGAGAGCCAGTGGCTCAAACCATTCAGCTCAAGAGGCTGAGATCTGAGGATTGTGGTTCAAAGCCAGCCTGGACAGGAAAGTCTATGAGACTCATCTCTAATTAACCACTAGAAAACTGGAAGTGGAGCTGTGGCTCAAAGTGGTAGAGTGCTAGCCTTGAGCAAAAGAGCTCAGGGACAGTGCCCAGGCCCTGAGTTCAAGCCCCACTATTGGCAACCCCCTTCCCCTGCAAAAAAAAATAAAGACAAGAGATAAGGGATCTCCTGGGGGAGAGAGGAAATGAGATAATCAAAGGAATGAACAGGAGGATTCTGGGGCCCTTGGGGGTGGCGGTGACACATTGTTTTCGCAAAGCCGTGACACACACAATGCCACTGTTCTCACCAAGGGATGGAAAAAACCCACTCAAGCTGCGGAGGGAGGCTGGATCTTGGCGTGACAGGTTTTAATGTCTGTAAGGCAGGGCAGGCCATCAAGTGCCTTTTCCAGAATAGGCCAAGGAGGATAAATCCAGTTTGGTTTTGAAGGCCTCGGTCAGCTCCTGGGCCAGCAGCTCGTGGAGGGTCATCCCGTCGTGGGAATAGACCCAGTGCTTCCCCGTCCAGTCGTAGCGCTTGGGTCCACTGGAAGACAGGATGGAGGCACAGTCAGTGATTCCCTGCAAACCTCTGTGTGCTGATCTGGGGTTAGCCATGGCCTCCATGCGCTAAAGGCTGGGTCAGCCATCGGAAGCTGTCATTATTGAAAAGGGGTGAGGTCCTTGGAGGTGTGCCCTTCAAGGGGGCATCGGGCCCCGCCTACCTCTCTCCATCTTGTCTTTCTAGCTATTTTTAAAATGTTTCTGCCACCGCTGCGGCAAGCTAACACGAGCACACAAAGGCTGCCACCCAGACACTTACGGAGTGACAGTTTATAGTTAGCTAATACCTAATGAGGCATCTATTTGATTTCTTGACTTGTGTCTATTTAAGGAGGCAGGAGAGTTGTGAACTCAAGGCCAGCACAGGCAAATTATAAAAACACAAGTATCAGGGGCATAGCTCTAGTGGCAAAATGCTTGCCTCACAAGTATGAGGTTCTAAGTTCAACCTCTAAAATGACAAACCCAAACCCAAACCAAATAAACAAAGTGCAATGACATAGTCTCTCTCCTGGAACACTGCCCAGAACATTCTGGAGATCTGAAGACTCTTATCTTTGAGTGCCCATCCATCACCTACTTCACATCTGATATCAGATATCTTAGAGCATGTTCGCAAATCACAGCCCTTTCTGTGTGACTGACTGATGTGATGGGTGTCTTACTCTGTTAGTGAAGTGAGGTATAAAATTCATGTAACAACTTTATTTTATTTTAATTTATTATTATTATTATTTTGGCCTGGGGCTCAAACTCTGGGCTTGGGTGCTGTCCCTGAGCTCCTTTTTAGCTCATGGCAAGCACTTCACCACTTGAGCCACAGTACCACTTCTGGCTTTTTCTGTGTTTAATTGCACGGTTGGGCTTCAAACCATGATCCTCAGATCTCAGCCTCCTGAGAAGCTAGGATTACAGGCGTGAGCCACTGGCACCCAGGAACACCAACTTTAAAATAAGTAATTCAGAGGCTTATACTATAGCCCCAACGTTGTGTAGTCACTACTGCTATCTAGATTCCAAACATCTGCATTACCCCCAAAAGGAGACCCAGTCCACATTGGCAAATTTGGACTTGTGATCACCTGGAGGGAGAAGACAGCCAGATCTGCTTGTTTGGGGTCTGTTTATTGATCACGTAGGTTCCTAGAGCTCCGCCCAGCTTGATTGTTAGCACACCACTCTGGAAAAGGGACAGACAAAAGCAATAAAACCGGACCAAGTTAGCACTGGGCCATACTACTTTGCATTATACAGTAGCAGGTTATGCCTTTGTAAGTACCTGATCTGCACCGTAAAGAAATGCCTTGTCAGGCACCAGTGGTTCATGTCTCCAATCCTAGCTAATAGGAAGCAAGAATTCACAGAGAATTATGGTTCAAAGCCAGTCCAGGCAGAGAAGTCAATGCAACTACAATCCCAGCAAAAAGCTGTGCGAGAGGTATGGCCCAAGTGGTAGAGCAGCACCAGCTGTGAGCAAGAAAGCCAAGAGAGTGCAAGGGCCAGACTTTTCTACCCAGTTGGCTTTGAACTCCAACCCTCAGATCTCAGCCTCTTGAGTAGCTAGGAATACAGGTATGAGCCATCAGCAGTTAATAGAAGAATGTTATTTATTTATTTCTGTGCTAGTCCTGGGGCTTGAACTCAGGGCCTGGCTTGTCCTTGATCTTCTGTGCTTCAGGCTAGTGCTCTACCACTTGAACTGCAGCTCCACTACTGGCTTTTTGGCGGGTAACAGTCTCATAGACTTTCCTGCCTGGGCTGGCTTTGAACTGCAATCCTCAGATCTCAGCCTCCTGAGTAGCTAGGGTTACAGGGTGTGAGCCCCTGGTGCCTAGCTAGAAGGACAAACATCAATTTATGAAATTTGAAATGAGATAGTGTGTAGAGAGAACACGGCTCTCAGCATCAGAAGAGGACAGATCACTGCTATGATCCTCTCCCAGTGAGGTGAGTGAACTGAGTAGCATGACTGTCTTAGCTCTTAGAGCTGGTGGACGGTTGGGTCTGCTGATGTGGCGCTCCACCAGCAACCACCAGACAGTCTTAACAACTGCCTGTTCAATCTCTACTGGTATACCCTGTGAGCCCAAATCAGATTCAACAAGCCATAACAATAAAAAGAAAAGAAAGAAGGAAAGAAGGAAGCCATCAAGCCCATCTGACCTATTAGTTAGAACAATGGCTTATCAAGGTGAGTACCAACGCCAGCCTGGGTTTGTTAGTTCCACCCTTTCTGGGCATCTAATTGGCATCTCAGAAACTCCTCCAAGGTTCTACTGATCTCTGTTGGCCCGCTCCATACTGGTGGGTCCATCTTTCCTCAATAAACATACATTTAAATTTGAAAACATTCTTTCCACAAAAGAGTCCTTTGCTCCAAAGCCTTCAGTCTCTTTAGAATGGGCAGGAAAGCCAGGTGTTGGTGGCTCACGCTTGTAATCCTAGCTACTGAAAAGCTGAGATCTGAGGATTGGGTTCAAAACTAGCCCAGGCAGGAAAACCCATAAGACTCTTATCTCCAATGAACTACTCAGAAAAAGAGCTGGAAGTGGTGCTGTGGCTCAAGTAGTAGAGTGCTAACCTTGAGCACAAAGGGGCTCAGGGTCAGCGTACAGGCCCTAAGTTCAAGCCCCAGGACCAGCACCAGGGCTGGAAATGACAGCAAGGGTTACCTGCTAGGTTCCCCATATTGTCAGTGCTTAGCAGGAGGGAGTCTCACATTAAACTGTACTCTGGGGGACCTTGCCCAGCAAAAATTGCAATTATTATTGTCTTTAAGAACAGAAGACTATGGGCTGGGCATGTAGCTCGTTAGTAGAGCACTTCTCTAGCACGTGCAAAGCCCTGGGTTTCACTCCTAGCACGGCCAATAAGTAAACAAATAAATAGACACACAGATGAATGGCGTGATGAGCTGGGGGAACTACACACACACACACACACACACACACACACACACACGTGTGACTTCTTAAGAGATAACAATAACGATGATGACACGCTTTGCCATTTTTTTCCCTTATCACCTTAGTGGACGGCCGACTGTCCTACGTAGTCCAGTGATTCAGAGCGCATATCATGACATTTCCTAGTATTAATTAATGGCTGTCAGGATTAACTTCTGTCCCCGGGGAGTGGCTTGGTTTCTTTTTTTGAAGGCCTCAGCAACAATTCTAATGGCCAAAGGTAACTGTTGCTCACATCTGCCACCTGGTGGCCAGTTGGTTAAAGACCAGCACTTCCTTGTCTTCCTGGAATTGGGGCTTAGCACATTCAACTCTCAAGTTCTCAGACCAACTGTACTTTACAATCACCTGAGGGAGGCAAACAAATTCCAGTTCCCTGCCCAGGGAATATTCTAGAGAAATTAGCTGAAAATCACCTAGCATCTCACATTAGAATCCTGGGCAAGCTTAAAAAAAAAAAGTGCTTTTCAGGAATGCAGCCTGATTTGCTCCATGAGACTGGAGCAGGATGGTTAAGTCTTGGGAAATGACGACTACTTCAGACCCTCCATCTGCTCTGGTTCAGTGTTTCCTGGGCCATCTGCTACACAGATGCATGGCCAGGCCCTCCTGATTTACCTTCAGAAGTATCAGGGGATGCTGGGGAACTTGTAATTTTCTTTTCTTTTGTTTTTAGTGCTGGGGATTGAACCCAGGACTTCAAACATTACTCCAAGAGCTCTTCTTAGCCCTGTCCCAGGAAACCAGAACCTATCTTTTTCTTTTCTTTCTTTCCTTCCTTCTTTCTTTCCTTTTTTTTTTTTTGGTGCTGGAACTAAGGGCTTAAACTCAGGGCCTGGGTGCTGTCCTTTAATTTTTGTTTTTTGGGGGGAGAGGGGTTCAAGGCTGGCCCTCTACCACTTGAGCCACAGCTCCACTTCTAGCTTTTTTGATGTTTTGTTGGAGATAAGAGTGTCATGGACTTTCCTAGGGCTTTGAACTCAGATCCTCAGGTCTTAGTCTCCTGAGTAGCTAAGATAACAGACATGAGCTACTGATGCCTGGCTTGCAATGAGCTATAATTCTTAGGGAGGAAACAGAACAATGAAAATAAGCCAAGGGGTACCCCAAAGGAGACATCATAGTCCTTCGATGTGTAAGGCTTATCTGCGAGGTCCTCAAAAAATTCGGCCAAAGAGTCAAGCGTCTCCTCTGCGAGTCTTTCATAGGTGGTCTCATCTAGGGAGCTGTGGGAGACGTTGGGGGGGGGGGAGGGGAATGAGAGACAAAAAGACCCAAAACATTGTTAACAAACCACTCTGTCTTATTAATATCACACTCATGCATTCATTCATTTCATTTCTTTATTGCTGGTACTGGTATTTGAACCCAGGGCCTCATGCTAGCTTGGCTAGCTCTGTCGCTTGCTCAGCTGGCACACTCGAACTGTTCAAGTGAAACAGACAGGAAGTAAGCCCAGTTTACCACAGAGAGAAGGCACCCTGAACTTCAGATGGAGCTGCAGGCAAGTGAACTGGACAGTTACTTTGGAAAACTGCAGGGCAACCTCTGCTCAAGTAAACCACATTTGCAAGCAGTGGTCCATGGAATGCATGCAACAGAAAGGCCCACCAGGCCCACCAAAGACACATAACCGTGCTGGCAAGTTCAGAGCAGAATGACTATATAGTGCCAAGCTGAAAACTGCCCAGTGCCCAGGTCACAACATGGAAAATTATGGCTTATTCACACAGCAGAAGGCTATGTAGCAAAACAGAACTGTCCTTAGCTGTAAGAACGTGGATGAATTGAGACACGTAACTGATAGAAGTCACCTAGAAACGTATTTATATTTAGTGATGCTTACAATATCTAGAGGGAAAATCAGGCAAAACTAAATGGGTGCCAGTAGCTCACACCTGTAATCCTAGCTATTCAGGAGGCTGAAATCTGAGGATTGCAATTTGAAACCAGCCTGGCCCGGAAAGTCCATGAGACTCTTATCTCCAACAAGCCACCAGAAAACCAGAAGTGGTGCTGTGTCTCAAGTGGTAGAGCATTCGCCTTGAGCTTAAGAACTGAGGGACAGCACCCAGGCTCAGAGTTCAAGCCCATGACCAATCAAAAAAAAAAAAAAAGCTAAGGGAAAGTGGCCCTTGTTGGAGCCCTAGTACTAGCACAAAACAAACAAACAAACAAACAAAACAGGCAAATTAATTGAGTTTGTAAGAACTCATGCTGCCTATTTTTCAGTTTTTTTGTCTTTCTCAGTTAAAAAATACTGCTATAATAACTCCCAGACCACTGGTGGCTCATGCCTGTAATCCTAGCTACTCAGGAGGCTGAGATCTAAGGATCATGGGTTGAAGCCAGCCTGGGCAGGAAAGTCTATGAGACTCATCTCCAATCGACCACCAAAAAAAAAAAAGCCAGAAGTGGAGCTGTGTCTCAAATAGTAGGGCGCTTGCCATGAGCACAAAAGTTCGGGACAGTGCCCAGGCCCAGAGTTCAAATTCCAAAACTGGCACACACAAAAATTGCCATAACTGATCATGATGGTGGATGCCTAATCTTCCAGCACTGTGGAAGATGAGGCAGGAGGATCTTCAGTTCAAGAGCAGCCTGGATGCCATAATAAGACCCTGCTTCTGAAAACCAAACCAAACCCTACTCCAAAAAAAAAAAAAAGCCATATTGCTGTAAGACCACACTGACAGAAAACAGATCCATGGTTTTCTGGGGTGGGGGTGGGTGGGAAGGAGAGGGGAGGGTAAACATATAACTTCTAGGTGCTACAGGGTTTCTTTCTGGAGTACTGAAAATGAAAATGAAACGTTCTGATTTATGCGGTGGTGACAGCCATACAGCCCATGAAGATAGAAAATGTCCTGAGCTGTACCTTTAAGGATGGTGAATTTATGGGCTCAGAAGGTGGCTGAGTGGTAGGTAGAGAGCTTGCCTAGCATTCATGAAGCCCTGGGTTCCATTCCTCAGTACCATATACACAGAAAAAGCTGGAAGTAGCACTGTGGCTCAAGTGGTAGAGTGCTAGCCTTGATCAGAAGCAGCTCATGGACAGTGCCCCGGCCCTGAGTTCAAGCCCCAAGACTGGGGTGGAAAATGTTGAATTTGATGAGTTCCAGGCTTTATTTGTTACAGCAGCATGGGCCTACTTAAATTAGAATGCTTAAGAAGATAGCAACAAAGCACAGAAACAACCAGTAGGGGACAGCTTAAGTGAATGATGCAACTCCACATAAAGGTAAGCTATTGAAGAAACTGAAGAAACAAACTGGCTACTGCTTCCAGGAGGAGAGAGGCTCAATGAGGGAGGGAGGGGCGAGAGAAGAAGAGCTCTCCCAAGTGGAAGGTATCTGAGTCTTACCTGGAGTTACCTAAAGTTCCAGAGCTCCTCCAATGAATCCAGCAGACACTCTGCTTTGGGACATTCAGAATGTGGTTGAGGTAGTAGAGGTTCAAACCCTAAAGCACAGTTAAGAACACTTAGTCTCCAGTAGCCTACTCTTCACATGCAAGGGAAGACATATTAAAATCACTAGTTCTTGTATTTTACACTCTGTAGTTCCTCTAGATTGTGTCTCATCTTATTGTACACTAAAATGGATCCTGCTGCTCCCTGTCTAATCTTGTGCTGTCCTATAAGGTAGCCAGGAACCCAATATAGGAATGTAAATTTGAAGATAAATCAAGCACAGTGGTTCATACCTATAATCCCAGACATATGAGAAGCTGATATTGGGAGGATCATGGTTCAAAAAATTGGTAAGACCCCTCCCCCTCTTCTCAGTGGTGTGTGTGTGTGTGTGTGTGTGTGTATACACGCCTGTGCATCTGTGTCGGTCCTACAGCTTGAAGTCAGGAGACCTCAAACTCTCACGTGGCTTTTTGTGCTCCGGGCTGGCTCCACCTGAACTACACCTCCACTTCTAGCTTTTTTACTGATTATATGAAGATGAGAATCTTGGAGATTTTTCTGCTAGGCTGGCTTTGAACTATAATCTTCAGATTTCAGCCTCCTAAGTAGCTAGGATTACAGGTATGAGTTACTAGCACCTGGCTAGGCTTATTAAAGTCAAACAAATTAAAATAATAACGTTATTAAAAATGTATAAGTATGTTGACAGTAATTTGGCTATGTGAACCTTCATTTTCAATTGTGATTGTGTTGTGTGTGTTTGTGTGTGTGTGGGCACATGCGCATGCGCATGCATTGGTCCTGGGGCTTGAACTCAGAGCCTAGGTGTTGTCCCTGAACTTTGTCCAGGCTAGCATACTATCATTTGTGCCATAGCTTCACTTCTGGCTTTTCTAGTAGTTTACTAGATATAAGTCTGATGGACTTTCCTGTCCAGGCTGGCTTTGAACTGTGATCCTCAGATCTTAGTCTCTTGAGAAACTAGGATTACAGGCGTGAGCTAGGGGTGCCTGGCTGGACTCAGCTGGTGACTGGATCTGGCTGCATGCTATGCAGATTCTCTACCACCCAGCTCCAGCTCCAGCTCCCAACTGTGAATCTGACAAAACCCAGACACAGCTCAGACAGTTCCAGAGAAACCGAATGTCCGAATGGAAATGTGCTAGATAGACATGCATAAATAAGGAGGAGAAAAAAAGGAAGTAAGATGTGACATTACTGATTACGCGATGAAATGGTCTTTTGGATCTACTGGGTTAAATATAGTGGGGAAATTAATCTCACTTGGTTCTTTTTACTTCTTTAGCGTAGCTCTTAGAGGATTTGGAACCGTGCATGTGGTTTCCTCGCAGTTTCTGCCTTAGACTAATCCAAGGAGGTTTAGAGAAGGCTGGGAGGAGGCTGCCAGCCAGCTCCCAGGTTCTGAGGAATTCCAGACCTTCAGGAGCAGCCCAATGAGCCTCAGGGCCTTAAAATAATTACACAGAGGGGAGGTGGGGTTGCCCTGGCCATTCACACAAACTGCAAAAATCCCCAGACAGTGCAAGCCCACCTTGGAGCCAGCAGGATAGACACTGATTCGTTTAGGCTGGAAAAAAAGAAGTCCAAATGGGTGGACGATGTGGCTAATCACTTAGAAAGCCCCTGGTCCAAGGGACCAGCCCGAGGAACCACTTCTTGTCACGCTCCTAAATTAAAGTGTTGGCAACACACATGCCCACCGAGGCGTGGTGGGAGCTCAGTAGCAGCCCCAGGTAAGGACAGCACAGGAGTGAGCCAGGAAGGCTTGCTTTAGGAAGGGATTCCACGTTTGCCTGTTATTCTATTGACAATGAGCTCTAAGGGCCTTCGAACAGCATGGGTTGAATACTGTGCAGACAGTTTAAGCCTGCATGGTGCTCTACTGCTGAGCGACACTCCTGGGCCCATGTCCAAACTCTGAGCTCCATATATAGCTGAGGGTGGACCTCAGCTGGCTCCTTCATCACTACTTGTAGAGTCCAGGGCACTGGTGAGTGGCCCCTCTCCTCCTGCCTCCGCCACCTTTGCCCTTTCTGGAATGTTCCCTCCACCACTCCATTGGCATCGTCAAGGTTGGAATTAAAAACCTCACGGGTCGTTTATTTCTCTGCATTCCCAAGGAAATAAAAGGGGGACAAATGTGAGGTGAGGAAGTGTGTGTGCGTGTGTGTGTGCGTGTGCATGCAGAGTGCGTGTGGTGGGACTTGACCTCAAGGCCTGGGCGCTGTCCCTGAGCATTTTCTTTGCTCAAGGCTAGTGCTCTACCCTTCCACTTCCGGGGGGTGGGTTAACTGGAGATAAGACTCTCACAGACTTTCCTGCCCAAGGCTAACTTCGAACCTCCATCTTCCAGTGGCAGCCTGCTGCGATGCCAGGATTAACAGGCCTGAGCCAACGAAAAGTCTATGCTAATCCAATTTAATCCTCCACGCGGGTCCTCAAAGTGTGTGGGGGGGTCCTCATCCCCCCAGTGGAGACATCAGGGCCTGTCTCAGCGAGGTGGGGGGGGCGATCACCCTATCCAATGCACGACGCACGCGCGCACAGGACGCGCGCGCCCGCAGCATGCACGGCACCGCAACTAACAGCACGCACGTCCGCGAAGACCGCCTCGCCTGGCGATCGCTGCGAGAACAGGGCTCCAGACCCGCAAAGCAAGCGGCCGGCTTGGGACGCGGGCTCGCCCTCCGCGCCCCGGGCCCGCACCGGCCCTCGCCCGATTCCAGGAGGCCCGCGTTAGGGACG